CCCCAAAACCCCAAAACCCCAAAACCCCAAAACCCCATAAAAGGAGATTTAGTGCTATTACATTGTTTTGAAATGTTACGAATAATGATAATTTATTTAATTTGCACAATCATTTGACGAAGTAGTTTAAAACTTCTAAAATTCTGCCAAAGCTTGGTCTATCAGCTGTGTTTAATAATCTGCATTCGTGGATAAGTTGAGCAATTCTTGGATCAGTTCCATAAGGGATTTTAAGCTGTTCTTCTCTTTCAACCTTAGCTCTGATATCACTTACATCTAACCCATCATAAGGTACCTCTCTGGCCACTAACTCCCAGAGCAATGCACCAAATGCAAAGACATCAACTGTCTCATCGTATACTCTTTTTTAGAAAAGCTCAGGTGCCATGTAAGCAGGGGTACCAGAAAATTGCATAGTTCCTTTACCCAAATCAGCCTGAATATGAAATAAAAAATTTATATTATTATACCTTGAACCGAGCAAGACCGAAATCGCAAATCTTGATGTTGAAGTGCTCATCTACTAAGATATTATGACTCTTAAGATCTCTGTGAACTATCCCTAATTCATGCATGTAATAGTAGACACGAGCAACATCTCTAGCGATTCTTATTCTTTCCTCAGGTGATATTTGAATAGCTGTTTTCTTGATATGCAAGAGATTAAACAGAGATCCTGGCATTAATTCGAAAATGATAACAATGTTTGGGATCTTTGGTATCATTCCCATTAGCAAGGCAATATTTGGATGTCTAAGGATACTCTACATGACAATTTCATTGTAAATTTCAGCTAAGAGCTCATCTGTAAGTCTTGGATCAAAGATCTTTTTAATAGCCACAGGGGTTCCATTTAAAGATCCTTTATGTATAACTGAAAAGCCACCTTATGAGATTTATTCACCAATCTATATATCATCTAGGCTGATCTCTCTGACACCTGCAACTGCTGGCAATCTACCTGACCCAACTGAGACTTAAGCAGATGTTTGTGTAAAAGCTGAGAAGTTACTCTTCTGTAGCTCTCTTTTGTAATTTTCGATTTCTCCTAATAGTCTCTTTTTCTCTTTTTATTCCATCTTAAGCTCTTCTTGAATTTCCCTTACTCTTTAATTTTGTGAATTAGCTGTAGTAGGTCTCTCAATAGGACCACCCCCTCCGAAGCTCATCCAATCCTTATCTTGTCCCATTGTGCCTGGTCTAGCCATTGTGTTGTATGACTTGTTCGAGGGTCCTTCCTTTAAGCTCTTATTTTCTTACTCTAATTCAGCTATTCTTTTTCTAAGTGAAGCAGGATCATTCATGTTAATATCATTTTGTAAGAAGCCAACAGAACCGACTCCTTATCCTCCTATCAAACTTCCAAAAGAAGAACCGCCCTTATAACTGCCAGAGGCTCCACCACCGAAACCGCCGATGTTAGCTACTGATTATGATCCACCACCTAGACCTGAGCTTGCAAGGCCTCCTCCAAGGCTTCCACCAATTCCTCCACCTATGCCACCTCCAAGTGAGGACACTCCTGAAGTTGAACCAGCTGCAAGTCCAAAATAAGATTCAAGAGTCTTTCTTAAGAGATTTGCATTGCTTTCAATCTTTGCTAGTTATGGGTTTGAATTAACAACTGGATTTCCAAATAAATAAATAGTGTCGATTGAATACATATCTAATAGTTCTTAGTGCAAAGAATTGATATTGTTATTGCTTGCATCTACAACTCTAAGATTTGGAAGAGATTCAAGTTTCCTTAGGTTATTGAGTTTGTTATTTGAGATATTGAGGATCTCAAGCATGGTCAACTGTAGTATATCTGCAGGTAGCTCAGTCATACCGAAACCTGACAAATCTAAAGACTTTTCATTGCCTCTTTTTGCATGCCTAATCTTCAATTTGATATCTGCCATTTTGAAATCTCAAAAATTTATTAATTTTAAATCATAATTTTCTTAATTTGAAAATATTAAAGACAATTTGTTAGAGGGGTTTTGGGGTTTTGGGGTTTTGGGG